TTACAGTAGGCTTTTTAGCACTCCTCTATCGATGCTCCCTGCATGTGGCACTAAAAGCTGCTGTGCTGCTGGAAGGAGACTCTTTTAGGACGTAAGTACTATCATTTTATATGCTACAATAATCTCTGTCACCGGAGGTTTTAAAGAAATGGGTGAGACAAATATCTGCCAGGAATGGGGTTGCTTGAGCCAACAGACAAGACTGGTCCCTGAGATCCCTCCAGCTTCTTGTGATTTATGATTTAACAGTTATCAGACACTGAAGTCCACAGTCCAGAGGAGCGCAGCATTGTGCTAAGAGCCACATGAACACATGGAGAGATGGCCTCTGCTTCGGAGAGCCTACAGGTCAAGGCAGCTATTTGCAGCTGCGGAAGACGCAACAGCACTTCCACCGCATCAGGTCACTTTAACTACAGTTCTTTCTTGTCGGGCGACCGAAAGGTGATTGAAAATGTGCCTCAGCTGGATAAAACAAATGAACTCATGCTCTGTCCTGAAATTTGTGCAGGGGCTACTTGAGCATCTAACCCACAGGCAGAAACAGCGCAAAAGTTAACGCTGAGCACCGTTTTCTTGCTTTACCTTGTCGAGAGTTTTGGGATCCTCAGGTCAGGAGTTGTGCAAATGTCAGTCATTGCTACAGAAAGGTTACCTCTGGTGACATGTATCACGTCTGTTATGCTTCATTGCCTAATTACTGCCATAACAACACGTGAAATCAGCCGGGACAGTTATTGACTGGCATACACTGCCCGCGCTGGTTTCAGCTGTAGTTTTGCGGTGCGTTTCTGGTACGCCAAGAGATTTTCCTGTGCTGAATCCCTCCCGGAGCCCATTGTGCCGGGGACAAACTCATGACAGTGCCCAACAGGTGAAAGCTCTGGCCACGTGGCCGCTGCAGCCCACTTGTTTACCAGCTAAAGTGACACACGCGGCTTCTAATGCCCTGGATCAGACAGGGAGGAATAAGCAGAACTGGAGCACGTGAAGCCTCCTGAGAGCACCAGAACTGGGACAAGCGAGTGGAGGCAGCACAGGAGATCTTGATTTGATCTGTTTCTCACCTTGTTTAATAGTGTAACTTCACTGGTTTCAAAGGAAAAGCATGAATGCACCCAAGTGAGACCGGAATCAGGTCTTCGGCTTCTGGGGCCCAATCCAGCTGCTGCAGAAGAGAGCTGGGATCTTTCCATTTACTGTTAGAGGAGCCAAATCAGGCCCTGAGGGCCAATGCTCAGCGGTGAACAGAGCTACGCATCTCTGCACAAGCCTTTGGTCCTGGTAGGACCCAAATTCCATTGAAACTGCACATAAAAGATTAACTGTACTATTTTAAAAACACTTAACATGCACCGGCTTTGCAGGAGAAAAAAGTACGATTAAAAATAACCGTGTTTGTCCCTTGACGTTTGCGGTACTGACGGCCTTAGGAATATGCACGCAGCTACAGCACTGCCTCCTCCCCTTCAGCATCCCCAGGGCAGCCGTGCCGTGTCCTACCGCCACTCACGCCGCTCCCTGTCTCCGCTTGCAAAATGGCTCCATGCGTCAAGGTCACTTTACCCGCCCTCATCGTGAACCAGAAATGCTTATGTTAATACGTCCCTAATTTAATCAAAATGCCATGCTGGGGATTCAAGCTCAGGGCTGAATTGTCTTTTTCAAGGGCAAAAATTGACTTGCGATCTCAGGTGGCACACAAGTCCTCTCTCCTTGCCTCTCCCGTCCTTTGACATGACTGGTGCACCGGTGGACCACACAGTGTGATGCAATATTAGGTAGAATTAAAAAATAACCCAGGCTTATTCAACATTTTAAACGCTGAGTTTAAAATACCTACTTCCAATCAGGAAACAAAATTTTTTTTTTTTGGTAAAAAAATATTGCAATATCTTATCCTACCTTCACAGCTTCATCTTGTTTTTAATTATTGCTCTAATATTTTGAGTGCTGAACCTTTTATTTTCCTTTTACTGCAAAGCATCTCAGACACACTTAAGTACCAATAGATTATATATAACATATATAATAATTTGTATTATTAATGCTGTTAATTTCTTCTCTGGACTGGAAAATTAGTTCATTTTTTCATAGTTTTACCAGTAAGAAGGTAATAATAGTAATAGATTGGTGCCTCATCAATATATATATTTTTAATGCGCTTACTAGTACTTGAGCTGTAGCCAGTAATGCACGGTGGTGGAGCATGCTGTTGTACCCTGCTGGTGCTGTATGTTTGGCGAAACGACCAACGCTTTAGTACCATAACATAAAATCCGCAATGTTCCATTATGAAAGCTGTGCTGAGGAGTAATGAAACAGCTATTTTTGAGTGTACAGCAGTACAGATTAGGGCAGAGTGCAATACTGAGATTCTTCTGTATTTCATAATTACTATACCTGCTTGTGTACAAAACAAACAATCTTTTCCCTGTAGATCGCAAAACGGGTAACATCAAATCAGGGAGGAAAAGTCCAATTCCCTTACTCTGAGAGGCAGGGAAGGAGAGTACTCCCTGCTTTCACATAACAATAGTGGGCAGAAGACTCCTTTGCATTTCACTATGGCTCTTTTCACTCTTCCTGTCTCGGCACTCAGTTAGGAAATCAATCGCATTATTTGGGGGGGGGAAAAAAACCCAGCCCTGACTTAAATACCGTATGCTATTTAAACAGCGGTTCCGACCAAGACTGCTCTGAGCTCTGGGACCAGAGAGGCGATGGGAGGGAGGCAGGGGTGCGCGTATGTGTGCACCCTCTTCTCCTGGTGCAAACTGCAAACAAAATTACCGACTCCTTTGCAGTACAATTCCCCACCTCACTTCACAGATACAGTTTACACGGCGCTGATCCTGCTGCCGAGTAGAGGGGTAGGTGACGTGGCCTCCAGGACCCGTCCTAGCCCTGTTTTCTTCCAGCTCTTGTCCGTATGCCGCCGTTTTCCTCCTGCGTCTTTTCCTCTCGGCCGTTTTTAAATAGCATCCTACATCATGGCATAGTTGAGCCAAGACTGTAGCTTTTCTAGGAAAGACTGGGGAATTGTGTTTTCCTGTGCGTTTTAAAGCAATGCAGTCTCTTGAAGAAACGTGTACCTGTGTCGGACAGCTTCTTGTTTGAACCGGGAAGTTTTTAATGCTAGAGATATACTTACCTTATAAAAATCCCAGGGTGGGCTTTTAGACGTTTCAATGGAAAATGGGCTGAGCAGAATCCTTTCTTTTTTTTTCCCCTCCCCTTCACAAAACCATTTATGCTTGGGAACGGGTGATGGGGCGGCTTTTAAAATTAGTTGTGCCATGCTCTCAGGAGTACGCGCGGGGGGTGTCGAGTCACCAGGACCGCGCTTCAGAGGAGGAGGCTGCTTTGCTGTAGCCGTTATTCACCCCGCACACG